AAGAAACAGTTTTGCAGCACTGAAAGCAGCTAAGGTCAAGTTAGCCTGTCATGCATACAGACGGACACAATTAGGTCCAATTGATTTAATCATTGGAAGTGATTATTATCACTGTTTGTGCAAAATATAGTAAGTAAACATGGAGGTCACTTGCTGAAAACAGCAGGAGGCACATGATATGTGTCCCATTCCTCTAAAGTGGGAAAGAAGCTGATCTTGATTCAGTGGTCAATGTCCTAGTTACGAGAATAACCGCTGATAATGTACCACAGACAAATATTATCATTACTGGAAGAAATGAATGAACCAGTTGATAAGTTGTGGGATTTAGATGAATAGGTATTGATGTAAATAAACCAAGCCACAAGAGTTCAGACTTATAACAATATTTGGCACTGGCAGATATAAGAGGGACAGTATTGGGTTAGGTTACCATGGATAATTAAATCCACCTCATCTTGCCTAGCATTTATCGCTGTTTCGGACAGATGATGCACAAATACATGAGCTCAGGAAGAATCCAGAGCTACTGACTGTCTATGATAATTTCATACAAGAAACTGTTGGACAATAATTCATTGAAGGAAATAGTCGAAGATAGTTGAAGACAAACGCTCTTATCTCACGCAACATGGAGTCAGAAAAGATCCGAAACCACTCCACTACGTGTTGTATATATTTGACAGCGCACGGGCAATAAAGATTGTAGCAAGGTCTTAATGGACTGTCTGATGACGGACCCTCACTAAGAGAAAGCTTGGAGAGGTGATTATGAAAATTTCGCACAAACCCATATGCCCTACACGGCTGATATTTCCAAGGCTTTCTTAAAGAGTAGGACTACAAGAATTGATAGAGGATTATACTCGATTCTTGTGGGCCTGAAAATCCACCTGATCTCAAAGTCCTGTGAAAACTTATCGTTTAAAATCAGGATTATTTGCGTGCAACATCCTCTCCATTCTTACTAGAAGCTACCTCTAAATACACATTTGAAGAAATCTGAAAGTCCCTTCAAAGAAATCTTAAAGAAATGTGCTATGTGGGACAATCTCAAGGTACTGTGAATAAAGAGGAGGATTTGAAATCCTTATACAGAAGAAGCTAACAAGGAGATGAAAGACGCAAATATGCCTCTAAGGATGTGGAATACAAAATTCAAAAGCAAGTAAGGGAACTTGTCAAAGAAGTTTTTCGCTGAAGCCCTGAAATTCCTGATTGCCTCTATTGTGCGGGACTTAATTGGAACACACATTGAGATACTCTGAGTCTCAAAAAGTAACATAAATCATGCAGTCACTCACTAACGCTTTAGTTTAAGTGTCAGAGGTATCACAATGTTTTGATCTCTAGGACTCGTCTCACCAATTACTAAGGGTCAAAATGCTTATGCAAGATTGGCATGGAAAACTCAAAATTGGATTGGTGGGGAACTTGCCTCTAAAAATGAGTCAAGCATGGGAATGAAATATCCAGGAGTTTAAACAACTTCATCAATTAAATTTCCCCAGCAATAGGTCAAGAGGGAAAACAATTACACATTACATGTGTAGGGTTATGTGATGCGTCAGTCAGAGGGTTATGGCGTGTAGCTTACTTGAGTAATGCTGAAGGAAGTACACTATTTAATTCCAAAGGCCAGGGATAGCAACCTGAAGGTCAGTAAGTACCACATTGGAACTGTCAGCACTATATGTAGGTACAAAATTAGCTGTCTATCTCAACAAATTACTTGTCATCTCCTATTGAAAAATAAACGTGATCTGGAGTGATAATGAGGCAGTTCTCCAGTGGTTAAGAGAAATAATAAGAGTAAGTTGGTCTATGTACAGAACCCAGAGTAAGTAGAAGAAATAAAAGAGATGCAGACAGAGAGAATATCTCTTTCTTCACGTCTGCTACCCAGTGATCCCGCTGAACTGTTGTCACGTGGTTGTCACACTCCAAGAAAGTTTTGTGGATAATAATTATGGTCACGGACCGAACTGGCTCTCTGATTGAAAATAACTGGCCTCAGAAAAAGCTCACATTATGCCAGAAAGGAAACTGTCTGCTTGAACACCAGCAGAATAAGTTGTGTTAAATACTGCAGGACACAAACAGAAAATAGTCATTGATGGATCTAATTACTCATTTTTGGGTAAACTCTAAGATTTACACGTTCTTGTTCTTTGAATCTTTAAAGGATTTAAAACCTGATATGAATGTCTTGACCCATTAAATACTGGGTGAATTATACTGAAATATGTTTTCTCTACAGAATATAAATTTTAGAAACACAAGATAAATCCCCAAAAAGAAAAACCTGTTATGATTAATTCTTTAGGAATTTATCTCGACTCAGAAAGGATTATAAGATGTCGAGGATGAATTCATAATTCTTCATACCTAAAGAAGCCTACATCCATATACTGATCCCATGAATATGGGTAACTAACTTGATTGTGCAAAAAACGCCCAAAGTAACGTGTTACATGGAGGGGTAGCTGTGAACACTTTGTCTATACGAAATCCTACTGGATACTCCAAGGTCGACAAAGTGTGAAAAACTCAAATAAAGGACTGCATACTTGTCTCACTAGATACGCGAGTATGTCAGTATCCAGGTCTCCTCCATAATCCCCTCTGAAGAGTTTGTCATATCACTCCATTTGAGTGTGACAGGTGTAGATTTACACTGGACCAATAATTTTAACCAAACAGTTGACAAAGTTCCATCAAGGTGTACATCTGTTTGTTCACTTGTGCTACAACTAGAGCAGTAACATCAGAATTAGCCACTGAATGTCTGCTGAAAACCTGTATCAATTATTCAGGAAGGTTTGCAGCCAGAAAGGCATGTCCCAGAGATGATTTCAAGATAATGCAAGAACTTTGTTGCTGGTGCTGCTTTATAAGAAGATCTTTGATCAACCAGAAGTACAACAGTGCCTGATTCAAACGCAGTTGTCGGTTGGAGTACATTTTCTCCTAAATCTCCATGGCCGGCGGATTTTTTGAAAGAATGATCGGCATTGTTAAAGCGTTGTTAAGAAGTCTCTACATGTCAGAGAATAGCTTAGAGGAATTCCGCTACAGTGTGATGAAATCGAAATTAGAGTCAACATCAGACCCTACTTATGTTACCGATGATCTGGACAATTTAGAAGTGTTACAGTCCATCTCGCATCTTGTCTCCATGGCGAAGGCTCGAACCTGTTCCTCCATGAATGATTAAAGAATATAGAGGATCCTACTTATTTCGAACCTGAGCAAAATCAAGACGTAATTCAAACACCTTAATAAGTGATGAACAATTGGGAGATAAATTTGGAGAGGAAGACTATCTACCTCATGAGATAAACACTTTATGGAGCTGGTGTTCCTGGAAAAATCATAAGTCTTAAGGACTTGTGACTTAGTGATTATCGCATGATGGTCCGAGGTCCAATGGCCACTTGAAAAAATTGTGACCATTATCCTGATGCAAATGGATTCATCAGGGGTCAGTTGATGTTTTGCGCAAAGGGTAGTGAATAAGGGACAATAAAATAAAAAATAGTGCCGTTAGACTTTACACAGTGTTGAAAACAATATTTGTGATTCTCCAGAAACCAACAGACTAAAGCTGTCAGAAAGACAAGCAGCAGGTGGTGGCGAGTGAGAAAATTAAATTTAATGGTTAAGTGATGAATAGTTCACCTGCAGCGAACTCCGCCGCCCCCCTGTGTGGAGAAATATCTCCAGGAGGGGGGTATTCGCCCCCTTCAGCCCTTTAACCCTTCAGCCCTTTCAGCCCTGAGTGGCCCAAGCCATCAGAAGGGGCGAGCATCTTATTTACTGCTAGAGTGGAGTAGTAATTGATCACAGATGCTTGCCACGTTGTAAGTGACCTATGCTCCTTGCGCGTGTTTTGTTGCAAGTGTATTTTTATAAGAGACTGTAATCTCCTTACTTAGCAGGTCAATTAAGGAAAATCCTTGCTCCACTTTATTACCATAGTAAAAATAGTGTACATTGTTGTTTATGCATTTAAGAAAGCGAGAAAACAAACATTCTGCTTTGCTTCTCGAGGAGGTGACAAGGTATGCAAGGTACTAGGTCAGCGTTTTTTTTTTTTTTTTGTGTATTAGGGCAGTGACGGCTTGGGCGGTTGTGGCGAGGCCAGACTAACTTTGACCTCTATACGAGTGACACTGACGCCAGGATTAAACAGCAAAAGAACCTGATCTGTGCATTTTGTGTGAATAAGTGTCTCACAAAAACCTCATTAAACACTTAAGAGAAGTGGGATAAGTTTCTCTTGTGATACATTGTGAACAATAAAGACAAATCTTGTGGGACATAGTGTACAGTGTGCGTTTCCTAGACAATGGAATAGACGTGGTCATCAAGGAACACTTCAGCTTCTATCAAGTCACGTACTGTCGAGGTGTTGAGAACACCATAGCTCACGTTACAAAGAAGCAAGGTATGGTTACGACTTTCTTTGTTGATCGGGGGATTGCGCAATGATTGAGTCTCACGGAGTTTGTAATCCACCTATAATCGGCAGTAAGGTGTGGACTTTTGAGTCCAAACAAGTAGGTATTTCGTCAGCCATCATCGAATGAAATATGCTGACATAACACCCCCTAGGGGTAATTTATACTTACAAATTGTTCTCATGACTGCCATGTTGTGATGGTTTTCGAAGCTCTAGACCACGTTTGCAGGGGCGGCTGTTGTAGACGATTTGCTGTCATTTATCAGCTAAGTGTTTCCTATATTTATATATATACACATAGCTGGTAAGGCCAAAATTCTCAACAATATTAAATAAATCTGCCAACTGAGTTTGTGAGTGTGCATGGATGGGAGAATTACAGAAAGTATTGCAATTCTTATACACGTAAATAAATTTCACAAAATTAAAAATATTATAATACTGCTAGTAGTGATGGAAGAGTAATGATGGAGGAATATTAGTGGAACAGGAACTGTGGAAGAGTGATGGTGGTGATTGTTTTACCGTGGCTGCTCTAAACATTGCTTCTGATCCAGTCCAGGAAGCTGTTGATCCTAGTGTAGACTCCAGGGAAGCCAGGCTGAGCACAGCGAGTACCGAACGACACAATGCCCACCACCACCCACTTTCCATTAACTGTCTTCATCATGGGTCCTCCACTGTCGTCCTAGGGAGACATACACTCATATATTCACCATCCCAAAAAAGGTGCTGCATCACAGATACATCACATTCCCATGATTTTTTTTTTATATTTTATTTAAAACCGCATTTACAAAATGCACAGATATGTGCAATTTAGTGGTACATATTATGATCAAAATCCACAATGGTACTGCTATAATCTAAAATTGCACTAAGACGAATTTAATTCAACCAACATCCTACCTAAAAACACAAAAATGTACATAATACATTGACATCCTCAGTTCCAATTCCGACTCCCCCCCCCAATGTAACAATGTACAGTGTCACCTGGTTAAAACAATAGCACCTCCACATTTAATTAAACATTAATTTAAACCAATGTTTAATTCGTTTATAAACCAAATATAAACAATCACCATTGGCTTTATATTTACACAAGACACAAAATCAATGATATCGAAATTAGTTACAATATACCACACTAATGGTATTACAATGTTCCATCTTATGAAAAACTTCGTGACCTTACTCCAGGCCATGCTTACAACATACATAATGGCTCTAATACCACCATCAAAAAATTCACATAATACACTTTCAATACCTAGTCGTGCAGACCTACTTCCACATGAATATCATATGGATGGAGTGACCCACAACTCCATCATGTATTTACATTTCATTACAATTCCCAATTATTCGTCTCTCGACCTCCGGGGAGAGAGGATGCTCGCCTGGTCTGCTACACACCGCAATGACAAGATGGCGGAGGGAAGGGGCTGCTGTGTCAAAATCGTCTGCATAGAGCTGGTCAGAAGCACACTTAGTTCTGCAACGATGCACGTCTTATTACCAACCATCATCAGAGATGTCTTCGGCGTACCAAAGAGGAATTATATGGTGTGGCGCTGAACGGGACGTCAAGGATCTTCGTTAAATTGAATCGTGCCAGTTTGTATGACAAGCTAGTCGATGAATTCCAGGAGAAGAGAATAACTGTCAACTTGGCGGTGGGCATCGTCTTGCACGATGTATCCAAATATTACACATGGGTTAAGGTGCGTAATGTGCCTTTTGAGGCAACTGTGTATGAGCTGAAGGAGGCATTTAGCAGCTATGGTTGGGTCCATTTAGCAACGATGGGAGTCTGGATGGATGGGCCGTATGAGGGGCTCCCTGAGGGATTCTACACCTTCAAAATGTCATTGGCCCTGCCGATCCCGTCATATGTGACGTTGGAGGGATACAGAACGCAAGTTTTTGTGCATTATGCTGGTCAGCAGCGGATGTGTCGTCTGTGTTGCTCATATGATCATATGGCGGCACAGTGTCCAAGGCGGCAACCGGCCAGAGGGCCTGAAACGTCGGCAGTGGAGCAACGATTGTGTGAATTGGGGCCTGAGGTGGGCGGCGGAGCTAACTTGCGGAGTGGTCGTTGGAGCGAGGAGGTAGACCGTGAGGAACAGTCGGCTGACTGGTGTGCCATGCTCCCGGAGCGATCAGAGGCTGTGGACGAATTGTCAGGAGAGAAAGTGTGTCAGGACAGTGTACCTCAGGAGCGCTTCATGGAGGAGGTACTCCAGGATTTTTTGCGAATAACTGTGACTGGTGTCTTCAGTAAAGGTGAGGCAGTCACGATGGTACCGTTGCCTGGGGGAGGGAACCCCAGTGAAAGTACCTTGCAGCAGGGTGTGCAAGTAGAGGTACATCAGGAGCAAGCCCAGGAAGTGGATATGAGTGTGAGTGGCGGCTCCAGAAAGAGAACGGCTGGAACGGCAGAGGTAGAGGAGGTTCTCACATCCGGCCAGCGCCCGGGGAAAAAGGTGTGAGCGGCGGAGGAGTTGAAGGAGGTATGGGCTGGTACAGTGACGCAGGAGCAACGCAGTGGACGGGTGCGGGAGAGTGAGGGTGAACAGGTAAAGACCTGTGAGGTGCCTGAGCGCCGAACGGGGAAAGGTGTCATGAATAAACCACAGTGGAATAGAGGAAAGCCGCCGTTTATATAGCTTTCTGGAGTGTCACTCTTAATGTGAATGGTCTCCACTCAGAGATCAAGCAAGTGTGGTTGGTCTGGTTTTTGAGAAGGTTCCGGGTTGATGTGTGTTTTTTACAGGAACACAATTTTCAGTTTGGATGTGATTTGAGGTTGAATGGTTACAAAGTGAATGTTAGTTCTGCCAGGCAGTTAAAAGGGAGGGTAGCAATAGCAATCAAGGACACCAGCCCCTTGCATGTCACGGGGTGGGGGAGGGTTGTGCAGTAGATGGGGTATGGAGTGAGAGATGCATTTGTCTTATAGGTGCATATATGCCAGCGTCGGGTAATGTAAGGGTTAAAGCAAATTTTGTGAGGGATGACTTACTGTATTATTTATGGGCATTGCCGGCAGTCACGATCTTCGGTGGGAATTGGAACTGTGTGATTCGTGAAAGGGATGTGGAACCGAGGGGGGCAGGGTGTGTACTGAAGGTTCAGTGGGACACGTTGCAAGATGTTGGTGTTGTGCACGTAGTGGGGGCGGCGGCTTAGTGATGGAGCACACTTTTGTCAGGAGAGAATATGCGGCACGACTAGATAGAGTTTACATAATGCAGGGTATAGAGGTGAGGGGCGTGCAAACGGTTGATGTAGGTTTATCGGATCACAGAGCAGTAATTGCTGACTTGCGGTGGGAGGGAGTGGTCAGGATTCATGCTGGTTATTGGAAGTTGAATGTTGGATTGCTTAGGGGTGAGGAAGGAGGTGTGGGGTTCGAAGAATGGTGGGGTAGGTTCATGGAGGGCAGGGATAGGGTAATGTAGCTCATTGACTGGTGGGAGTTGAAAGCAAAGCCTTGCATTGCGACCTATTTCCGAGGCAGGGGGAGGGAGAAAGTGAGATGGCATTATGGCTTACAAAATTATTTGGAATCTCAGGTGAAGGACTGTTATGACAGGGGGTGTGGCAGGTTGTTAAGGCAGAATCCATAAGGGATAGACTTGCGAACATCCACAACAAACGTTTCAATGGGATACATTATTGTTCAGGTTCGGAGGATGTGCTATGGGGTGACAAGCCGTCTGGTTTTGTGTTACGCAAGTTCCAAGAACGTCGTGCTGTGACTACTATGATGCGATTAGTGGCAAGCTCGGGAGTGGGGGGATACCAGGATGGTATGGTTTTTGCCACTACAAAAAGTATGAGCTATTATGCTGATGCTTGGTTTAGGGAAAAATGGAGGGAGTGGGGGGGTTTGGTTTGCGGGAATTGATGAGGGAGGGGTGAGATGTGCTGGGGACGAAGGTTAGAGAGAGTATGGAGGAGGATATATGTGAGGAGGAGGTAGCAGTAGCGATTTTTGGGATGCGGACTGGCAAGACATCGGGCATTTATGGGTTGCCAATTGAATTTTACAGGATGGATTGGAGTTGCATCAGGCATGTTTTTGTTGGGGTTCTAAATAATATGGTGGCAGGTGGGAGGATGAGTGAGTCACAACGAATGGGTGTTGTAGTGTTGGTGCCTAAGAAGGGAGGTGAGCATGTACTGAGTGCTTACAAGGTTTTTGCGAAGAAATTGGGTAATCGTTTGAAGGGGGCCCTGGGGTTGGTATTACATAAGGGACAGTATGGAATTCTTGGGAGAAGTATGCGGGAGGGGTATGGCCGTATCTGTGAATTCCTAGAGCGGGTTGGGGGGAGGAGGTGTTCTTGGTTTGGACTGGGAAAATGCGTACGATTGTGTGGATAGAGGATTTATGCTCGAGTGTTTGTATGGCTTGGGTTTTGGTGCAAAAGTAGAGGGATGGGTAGAGACATTGTAAGCTGGGGCGATGATGAGGGTTCAGGTGAATGGACGATTGGGGGGCATAATAGGCATGGAACAAGGTTTGAGGCAGGTGTGCCCTCTTTCCCAAATCTTGTTCGCATGTGTACAAAATTCGTTTTATGAGCTGGTGGATCGGGGGTGAAGGAGGGGGTGTGGTGATAAGTCGGGGGGGCACGTGTGGAGGGGTATATTGATGATACTATGGTTTTGATCAGTGCACGGGAGGATTTTGTCTAGGTGGGTGAGGTCATTGAAAAGTTTGGGGCTGCGTCAGGCATGAGGGTTAACAGGCGCAAGTCAATGTTGCTAGAGGTGGGGAGCTGGGTAAGGGGGAGAATGGGTTAGGGGTTTGGATGGACATGTGTGGATAGGATTAGGATCTGCAGGATTGTGTATTTAGCGGACAAACAGGCAAGCAGGGAGGTTAATTCGGTAGTGGCATGGGACAAGGTGCTGGGCAGACTACGAGGATTATGAGCCGGGGATTCCTCTTTGAACCAACGGGTGATGGTCGTGAATTCGCTTGTGTATAGCAAGGTCTGGGGATTGATAGCTGTATATCCTTTGAGGACCTGTGATATAACGAAGATACAGAGACAGGCGTTGAAGTATATTTGGGGATATGGATGGGCTTGGTTGGGGCGTGAGGTGGTGATGTCTGGAGTATGAAAGGGGGATTTAGGTTTGCTAACTTTGGGACCTAGGGTGAGAGCAATATATGACTGAGCATGTCACTTATGACTAGGGGGGGACTAGAGGACGTAGCGTGGGAGAGGTCGGGAGGGAAGTCTGGTGTTGGTGGCATGGAAAGGAGCTAGAGGCATGTGAGGATTTGCTGCAATATATGTTAAGGGTGAGGGATGTACGTGGTATGAGCATAGCAAGGCTGGTGAGTGTGGGGGTCCAGCAGGCAGCATTGTCAGGGGTGGAAATTTATCCCACTTATAATTGGAAGGTGATCTGGGAGGAATTCCGGAGGCTTTGTGTACCCACTAAGGTGTGTGAGATGGTATATAGATTTATCATGGGGATCCTGCCCTATATTCATTTCAATTCAAGTTTATTCTCTATAAGGGTTACAATGTGGGGTTTACAGGATTTGGATATTGTGTGATTTACATGTTATAAAATACTAATTACAGAGGGGGCCACTAGGACACCTAGCATGGCTAGGCATTTCGGGCAGACTTAGATTAATTCTTAACATTAAAT